TTTGGACACACCTCATTCAAAGAGTTTTCTTTATTGTCATGACTTTGAAAATTGTAGATTCACACTGACGGCATCACAACTATGAATTAACACATGTGGAATTATATACTTTACAAAAAATTGTGAAACAACTAAAAATATGTTTTATATTCTAGGTTCTTCAAAGTAGTCACCTTTTGCTTTGATTACTGCTTCACACACTCATATATACATAAAGCAAAAAAATCAGGATACTGTTTGTTTTTGGTTAACTGTTGTTTTGAGCATCCATTCGAAAAATCTGATTAAAACTGAGTTGTTGCTAAGCCTCTAAACAAGTGATTTACAGTAGAATAAAAACAACTACAAGTCTTTTTCTGAGTAAAATAATTTACAGATTAACTGTGGTGCCAACAAGACTAGTATATAAACAACAAATCATTTGATGTCATGGTTATGCGTCATGACAAGAACATTCTTGGTTCATTCTTTTTGTTGAGGCTTTCTGCAGAAGGTTTGCATTTTCTGTTTGTGTGGGTTTTTTGCTGGCTGCTTGGACTTTAATCTACAATTCAAAGACTCACTGGATTAATTGGTGTTTTTAATTGGCATCTGATGATATGGATGAGCTTGGTTACCCATTTCTGTGTTTGCCCTGTGGTAGAGAGGTGATCTGTCCATTCTGTGCTCCTTGGATTTTATCTGAGCTAGTTTACTTTACCTTGTGATTCTCTATATGAAGGCAGCAGGTATAGCAACTGAATGAAGGATTGAATAATAAAATGAAGAAATACAACATAGCTTTGTTAACAGCATGCTTGCTGATGAACTCCCTGTTTGACATGACTGATTATAAAACACTTTTTCGCTTCCAGCTTCCTGAGGGCTTGTTAAACTCATCTGTATTCTGAAAGCATCACGTTTCTGTGCAACATAAACACTGTCATCTTTAAATGTTTAACAGCATTATCATAAACAATACACTGCTGCTCCTGATGTCTCACTCACAGTCCGGTCACATGCACAAAGTTATTAATTCAAGTCACATTTTGCCCACATCTCCCAGTGCTTGCTGGTAGGTTTATGCTAATCTGTATGGAAATGCAGTCAAATAGTGAATACTTCCTGCCGTCTTTCTTTGAATCAATTTAAACCAGAATTTCCACCACATATTGTACGCACATAGGCTGTAATTATTGCATGATATTAAAGTTTATATTGGTATGTGCCGTTTCCAAGATCACATCATTCTGTTCTTTAGGCTGCAAGAAAAGAAGTGTTGATGAATTTGTCCACTGTCAGGCATATGGATGTCAGTGTGGCATGTGATGTACCCAAAAATTCATACATACCAGCTGGCTTCTGTCTGGAAGCTGCAGAGTTTTAGTTTCCAAGAAGAGAAGCTCCAGGTGTCGGACAGAAGGCCATGGATATAATAGGAGGTTGGGTATTTCATGTCCACTCACATGTCCACCTTTTTGATACAGTACTGCCCTCCTGATTGTGATGAAAACCCCTATCCTTGTTGTTTTTTTTTTTTTTTTGCAAGATGAAATATGAGCAGTTGTAACTTTATGGTACACATGAGTGTGATCGATGTGACTTAGCGATGCACTGGTTTTGTTTTTTATTGCTGGCATGACAAAGGATATGAGCATGTGGTGAAGTTTTGAGCTTTCAATCTAATATACAGTAATCAAAAATTAATTTAGGTTGTTTAAGCATTGAGTCCCCAGTGTTTGTTTATTTATTTATTTATTTATTTAATGCAGAAGTGAGATTTTTTAAAAATGCTTCAATATTTTCTGTGACATTTAAAACCAATAGTGGGCTTTATTATGATTTTTTTATTGGTCTTAAAGCACACAATGATCCGTCTTTGCCCAATTCCTGCTAAAAACTCTTTTTCTGATCTGATTGTGAAGAAGATGCCACAGTCATTGTATATTCCAAGGAGTTTATTACCCTCTGTTCCTTTTCTGTGAAGCTCTGCTGCTGCAAAGCACTTGGCTACAGAATGGTTATTTTATTATTTCAGAATGGTCATTTCATTATCACTTCCTCTTTACATTTGTGTGCTTCAATTCCTACATATTCATTTGATTTTCATTAGTATTCTGTTGTGAGAATTATTTTGTCCTTCAGCTAATAGTTCTTTTGCAAGAACCAGTTACTTAGGTACGTTTGGATGGATAAAACTCATTTGCCCTTGATTTAAAAGAAAAAAAACAAACATTAGCATTTACGGTTTCCATTGTCTTGACATTACATATATCTTTTTTAAGTTAAAGCTGTCTATAATGATCAGTACATTACAATACTGCAACTTAAAAAATGTAATTAGTGTAATATCATCAATGAACTTATTCCATCTTGAAAACCAGTGTTTAGAAGAAAAAAACATCAGGGAAGATTTTCTTCTAAACATCTGTTTCCAAGAGATTCATTTTTTATGTTCCCACCAGCAGTCTCTGTAAATAAGACATCACTTGTATTTATTTTTACCCAATTTAGAGCCCACCATAGGCTCCTTTTGGAAACTATCTCAAGTCCCATCTTTGCTGATGGTCACCATGACGACTGCAAGCCTTCAACTGAGGCTTAATCAGAGGCGGTGGAAATTGGAGGGATTTTTGATGGCTTTAAGTCCGTGGCCTCCATGGCACTGATGCACAAATGGGTTGCTGCTTGGGTTGGAGAGGAAGGAACAGCCTTAATTGATTCTTATAAACCTGCAGCAGTGGCTACTAGTTTAAACAGTACACTTCTGAAACAGTTCTTATAAAAGTCATCTTATAGTCTTTTTTATTGCATATGGTAAAAATCTGCTTCCAGTATTTAGTTTATGAATTCTTTTTTTGATGATCAAGAAAAAATGATTTTATCAGTGAATAAACAGTCTGTCTTATTCTGGTCATTTAAATGTATTAGAGGGAATTTATCACAGAAAATAATAACTGTGCATTGAGTGTTTGTTTGCCTCTTAAGCTTAGCTCTCCACAACTTAAGCTTGCGATCAGTGTTTTAATGTCTTTATTTACCTCTTGTAACATAATAGCTGAAAATGATTCTGGTATGTGAACCTTCTGTTACACCACTACTCAGGATTGTGATGTGAATAAAGTCATCAGGAACAATAGCAGTAAAAAAGGGGTTTAGTTCAAAATTCATGTTTCTTACAGTTCCTGTACGTGTTGATGTGTAAATGTCAGAATGGTTGTAACAGGAGAACCTTTCCTGTGTTGCTGACAATAAAGCTGTGAAAAGCCTCAGACACCCAACCAGAAAAAGGAACTATTACAGCCCTATGCGGTGGTGTGGAAAAACAGTGAGAACAAACAGTGTTGCCACTTTTAATTCCTAAAAAGGGAATGCAACAGATGTTCCCTGGATTCAGCAGAGGGGTTTTAATTATGTTTTCTGTGATTTTTGTGTGTAATTAATTAAAGGGACATAAAACAAGTGTGTGTATAGTTGGTCCACTTGTTTGACATGCCAGTGGTGAATTATTTGTTGCAGCGCTTTTACCAAAGCACTTCATATGAACTTGGGTTCATTGGTCTGATCTAGGATCAGCTGAACCCAGTTTGTTAGTTCGTTGAACCTACCTTATGTCATTTGATTGATGCATTTAATAGCTGCAAGCTTTCATTGTTGTAGACTTGGATAAAAGTGTGCTAGTTGTATTTTTTTACATTTGGTACACTAAAGGTTGGCTTACAACCAAACGCTTTGCTGTCTGAGTTTGAACAGAGTGGCAGGACTATGATGTGGAATTATTCAGGTAAGGTTCAATTGTGTCCTGAAATTCCATTTTCCAAAACTGATATTGTATAATGTTTGTTCTTTTTTACAACAAAATACAACACTCCTAAGAGGTTGTAAACTGCATGAAGTGTTGTTGTAATGATGTGCTGAAGTGTGAATATCAATGTGATATTGAATTGAACTGTGCCTGAAATATATATAACCTCCATTTAATTCTATGAGTTTTCTCCACTTTTTGACAGCTGATTTCTTTCAGATAATTTCACCTTCTGACTTTTTAAGATATCAAACTGTAGCCTTTATAAAGTCTGCAGCATAGTTTTTATGATGCTCTTTTGTTCAAATATTGATAATTCTTTTATTTTTTCTGTTTTACTCATATTATCATGCACTTAAACTTGCAAGGATATGCAAACAAATACTGTAACATAGACAATATTTTTTTTTACAAATTGAATTACATATAATAATAATGACAGAATTGTATACCACACACTGAAGTGTTTGAGGCTAAAAGTGTAAAAAAGAAAACACCTGTTTTTGTTTTTTATTTCTGTCTTTATATTTGCTGCACCAGCCTGAAAACCTGGTGATGGGGTTGAGGCAAAGCATGATTTTTCCTGCACTGGACTAGTCTCAGAGTACTTTGCACTGCTTTTACTTTCACCTCGCTATTACCTGTCAGTCACAGTAATGTGCTGTGGGGTTCCAGGCCCATTTTCTGCCGCCTTGCTTTGATGCCCACCAGCAAGTTGTTTTCACTATGCTTTCATGTACACCGTGCACTTCTTTAGAGAGCTAATTTCATGCTTTTTGGTCTTGAAGAAGTGCAGTATTGATTGTTGTTTCCTGCTTTCTTTATAAAAGATAATCATTTGTAATTTAAATGTAAGAGAAGAAACTATAATGATGCAATTCTCCCTTTTTTCATTAAATACCAGACAGTTTTATTGTCATGGATGCTTAAATTCTCATCAAGACCATTTTAAATAAGAGATCTCCAGTTGCGTCTTGCACCTCTATTAAAGCAGTGAACTGGAACATTTTATTTAAGAATGCTATTAAGTTTCATTCCTGAAATCCAGATCAAACAGAAAAAAAATTCAGGTGTATGACTAATACAATCCAAAGTGCCCTCATCCAGAGGCATTACAGTAACATACCACAGAATATAAATTATCCAGTAGACAGCTTGGAAACAAATGAGAGTTTTTATTTTTTACATTTCCTACCTGTCTCCCTTCATTTTGCAGTTGGTGGGTGGTGAATTTGACCTGGAGACAAACTTTATCATTCAAGATGCAGAAAGCATTGGCTGCATGTTGGAGCTACTGGAGCACTGTGATGTCACCTGCCAGGCTGAAATCTGGAGCATGTTCACTGCCATTCTTCGAAAAAGCGCTAGAAATCTGCAAACGAGCACTGAGGTGGGACTCATTCAACAGGTGCTGCTCAGAATAAGCTCGGTGGATGACATGATTGCAGGTATGACACTGTGTGTTGAAAAAAAAACATATACGCATTTTAACTGTGTTACTTTGGATAGAAATCTTAAGACATTGGTCAGAATTTAAAGCTACAGTAGGTAACGTTTATATTTTAAATATTTGTTAAAACTGTCACTATGCCCTGACAGTAGAATACGAGGCAGATATGTGGAAAAATAAAGCTCTTTTGGCCCCTCCCAGTGGTACTGCTGCCATTCGTAGAAATACACCACGCCCAGTCAGAATCAGCCAATCAGAACCAGGGGGATTGTCTTACCGATGCCAATCACACTCGTGTACGCTACTCTCACTCTAACCCAGCACAGTGTGTGCTGTCACTCAAGGTCAAGATTGCCTGTGTGCTGCAGCTGTCTTATATGTAGAGAAACAAGCTAACGTTACAAGAAAACTGTCAATTTCTCAGTTCTGCATGTGCCACGGCTGTCTATTTGCTGTCATCGGTGGCCCTGCCGCTTAGCTTGCTCCACTATGGGGGGTTACATGTGGGCATTACATATGAAGGGGAAGGAAGGGAGGAAGGGGGAGGGACCTGTAAGGTGTGTTTTTTTTTTTCAAAATTTTCTGGCTAAGTCCACAATTTTCTCAGAACTCCCTACTGCAGCTTTAAGGATATGCTACAGTTATGTTGGTTTGGAGTTACTTTTTGTCATTCAGTCTTCTTTTATTCTGTTATGCTTCAGACTAAAAGGATTGTGTTCATAAAATGAAGTCTCAAACTTTGGAGCTTAGCCTCTTTCCGGTGCTTCAGCGTAGCTGTGGCAGCTGAAATCTGCTCAATCATGAACAGAAATGGACCATTTCTTTTATATTAAACATTCTGAGTTTGCTCTTTGTTAAATATTTGTGTATCTACTGATAGTTGTACATTTCCTCTCCTTAAGTCAGAAACATTTAAACTGAAAATTTCAAAAATGGTATTTTATGTTACTTTAATCATGTTTGATATTTGAATCAAAAATAGATTTCTCTGCAGTCGTTGTGCCTCTTAAATGAAAGCTGTTTACTATAGAGAGATCACGTTGATTTAGTCAGCCTCCAGCAGAAATGCTTGATATAATGAAATTTCACAGACAATGGGCTTCGAACTAAAGTGAAATCATATCTCAGAGGTTGAGCAGCATGAGCTGTTTTCCCCACAAGGATCTCCTGTGCAATGTGGATGAGTTGTGATATCTGTAAAATTCAGCTATATTTTATCATAGTCTTTTTTTTTTGTTCTTTGTGTGTTGTGCCTGTGTGTGATGTCTTGATCTGTAAGACTTGCTAGTAGAGATGTTGGGTGTACTAGCCTGCTACAGCATCACAGTGAAGGAACTGAAGCTGCTCTTCAGCATGCTACGAGGAGAAGGAAGCTTCTGGGTAAGCCATTTAAATGATTCTAGAATTGTGGGCTGTAGACATGAGTCTGATTGTTTGACGCTGACATTCCAGTTGTTTCCAAAAATCCATCAACATAGATCTGTTTGGGGCTTGCTCGCTAATTGACTTACTGCAGATTAAGTGCACAAAGTATCTGAATATTTTCAGTCTCATCAGTCACGAGCGTGACTCTCTTCTTTTTTTCCTCCTTCTCTTTTCAAACTGTTTCTCCCGTGCAGCCAAAACATGCAGTAAAAATGTTGTCCGTGCTGAATCAGATGCCTCAGAAACACGGTCCAGATGTCTTCTTCAACTTTCCTGGTCGCAGCGCAGCAGTAAGCACTCATACATTTATTTGGTAAATGTATAAATCTGTTTCAAAAATTCAACTCGGCTTATTTTTTTTTTTGTTTTGTTTTTCTTGGTAAATGTGTGGCAGCTTAGTTGTTTCTTTAGTTGTAGCATCTTTAAGGAGTGTCCAGTTCTGTGAGTGAAAGGCCCAAAATGACTTGATCCACAAACATGACCAGAGCAGTTTACCTGCAGCAGCATAAATCAGCTCAGTGTCACAAACAAGTGGAGCTGTCAGTAATCATGAACCCGTGATTTACAATTTCACCTTGTTGCCTTTGGCTACAACATCCAATTATCTGAAACTGATCAACTGTTCAGGTTTTTCAGACTGGCATTTTGGCTGTGTCTATAAGTGAACAAATGCTTGCATCTGGTTGCAAATTTTGCTTACAAATTTTAATTTAGGGAAACAATGACTATTATAAATAAGGGCAATTAATTATTTATATTGTTTTTCTTTTATAACTTTGGAATGAGTACCTTTTAAGGCCATCCGTCACCACAGTTTGTCTATTTCAGAATACCAGTAAACAACTTTTACACACGTTTCTTCAACGTTCAACATTTATTTTCCCTCTCTCTCTGAGACGGTGTGGGTGAAAATTATACTTATCAGTACAGCTCTAAAACAATAATGAAGACTTGCAGTTTATGTGTATGACTAATTTATGGATCATTGATTTTTATATTGTTACCAAAGCAAACCTTAGAACTAAAATTCTATTAAATTTTGCAAAATGGATTCCTTAAGATCTGAACATCTTTTGCTTTGTTTGCTTATAAAAATTGCTCAGAACAGGACAAAGTCAGTGTCATTTTATGGTTTCTTATTATTTATTTTCTTTGGTGTAATCTTGGAGATTAATAGCTAATGTACTCAAATACTCAAACAGAAATAAAAAATGTTTAATCTTAAGACTGGATACTTTCCACAATAAAATATTTAGAAGGTGAAGAAAAATGATTAATAAATCAGTAATACTTGAAGATTCATATATTAACATCAGATCAGTTATTTTAAGCATAAAACAAATTGCTACAATGGAGATGTTTTTTTTTACAAGTATTGCTTATGAATTGGTGTTTTCAGTCATGCCCGCATGAAGACTTTTAGATTTAAATCCTTTTCTACATTTTAATATCGTATAAGTCTAAACACCTGCAATGTGTACCTTCACTTATGTGGTCTAGTTGTAAAATTTACCCTCTAAATACTTAGTGTGTGACTTTTCACACTGCTCTCTGTCCCGTATGTTTGGATGATTCATTATATTTTGTTTTATCCTGTTTGTCCTAGGCAATTGCTTTACCTCCTATTGCTAAGTGGCCTTATCAAAATGGGTTTACATTCAACACCTGGTTCAGAATGGATCCGTTAAATAATATCAGTGTCGACAAGGACAAACCATATCTCTACTGGTGAGTGCTCACCGATGTAGGTTTGTGCTCCGTATTTTATGTTGTTGTTTTACCCGTTGTGTCTCTTCCTGCGCAGGCCTGTAAAGCTAATAGCAGCTTTATTGACAAAGCACTACGCCGTCTGACACTCTGTGACTAACAGTGATTTTCTCATCTTAGCAGTTTATGACTGCATCTTGTTTTTCAAGGTTAAACTAGTTTTGCAGACGTTTCTCAAACAGACAACTTTTATGTAATGTGTTTTGTGAAAGAGCTCAATTTTCCCAGATAATGTTGTGAATTATAATGGAGAGAGGGGAAAAGGTGAGATTATTGAGATTAAAACTCATAGAAGCATGAATTACTGCCGCTGGAACACTGATTGCTGCGTGTGGAGACACTATGAAGGTATTAATTTAAATTTGAATAAGTGCCACAGAAGGTTCGCATACCAGCTCCTGCTGGAGCTTGTGGGTAATTATTGCAAAAATCAATAAGCTGAAAGTGCAGTGATGCCTGGCTGTTGCTTTTTCTGTTAAGAGAGGAACTCTGAGACGATGTCATAGAGCACAATTTATCATACAAAAGAGCTTAGGAAGACAATGAACAAGATTGAATAATAAAGATGGAAAGGTGTGATTGACTAGCAGGACAGAAACCTGGTCTGTTCTCATCTGCTGGATGTCATCAGTTTATATGAATCTGCACGTTGGACTGGACCAATCTGCTCATGTAAGAAACTTGTTGTTTCTCTGATGGGTAAGATCAAAAAGAAGAAAAGAAATATTGGCCAAGCAGAGATTTGGTATTCAAGTGGCAGCTTTTCCATACTGACTGTCACAAGAAAGGGTGAGATGTGCCAAGCTAATCCTGTTTATGCATTGCTCTGAGTGTCTTGCAGCTCAGTGGCAGGGCATGTAAACAACAAAAAAGAATTGTATCTTGAGAGGCGGACCAAGCTTCTCGTGCAGTGTCAAAACTATCCAGTCTATGTTTTGTTTAAAAAAAAAAAAAAGAATCATACCTGCCTTTTCAAAGGCGTTTGTTTTAGATGGTTCCAGTAGGTGGTTATGGAGGGGGGCAGGCAGCTCCAAACCACAAGACAGTGGGAGTGATTTTTTTTTCTTTTTCCTTTTTCCACAGCAGTGTAGAGAATTTATAGTTTGAACCAAAAAAAAAAAAGCGGACTGTTTGTTTCTGCACACTGTGAGCTGTAGAGGGTCTGTTTGTATTAAATACAGTTAAAGTTTCTGTAATCATATTTGTTTTGTGAAGTGAACAGGATCAGAGTGATGATTGACAGAAAACATTGTGGTGTGGTCGTTACTGACCACCACAATGTTGCTGAATTGTTGTCATGCCTACAAAATTTGTAGTTACTGTATTGTCACAGTTCATACATCTCAGCTGGTTGTTTAGCAATAATTCTCCTGATAATCTTGCAGCTCACTTAAGTCTCTTGCAGTGTTTTGTTTCTGCAAATTCTAGGTTTGATAAAATAATTTTGACCCCATACTTGTTGCACAATAGTTGTATAATGTCAAGGCTGCATTGCCAAAATAAAAATTAAAGACATTTTGCATAATTCCAGTGAAAATTTCATTTTAAAATTTAGCCTTTTACCTTGAAGATAACTAAATGTAGTTTAACCATTTTTTTTTTGTTTACAGCTTTCGCACCAGCAAGGGGATCGGCTACTCTGCACATTTTGTTGGGAACTGTTTGATTGTGACGTCGCTCAAGTCTAAAGGAAAAGGTTTTCAACATTGTGTCAAGTATGATTTTCAGCCCAGGAAGGTAAGTTCTACTCTGGTCAGTTTTGCAAATATTTACTAAATTAAATGAAATCAAATGAAATCATGTAATTCAGACGCATATAATAAAAAAATGCCAATGTAAGTTGTTTATCAAAGATTAGGATTATGTATACATCTTTGTAGCCATTTAAATGGCATTGACAGTTGTTTTCATAGCGGCTTCCTGCAATGTGAAAAATAAATGTATCTGAGCTGCATTATAGGGTTACTGCTTTAAACCTTACAACCTGAATGAGCTAAGTATTGTGGTTTAAAATTTAATTTAAAATCCACAAAAGCAATGTGTTAAAACCATCCAGTGGCTTTTGTTACATTGATCACGGCTTTCTCTTGAAGCAGTAGGTTTTTTTGGCAGTATTTTGTGTTTCTTGTGTATCTACATGCATACCTGTGAGAATTCTTCCACATGGAAATGTGGATGGGGAGGGGGGTAATGAAACCTGAATCAGCTTGGTGCATCCCTGCAGCATAGCTTTCCCCCGCAGAGCTGAAAAACTAACTCGGCACGTGTGAGACAATTAGAGGCTTCACATAACACTTGAACAATTATTTGCCTCATCCCAAGAGTCACAGTGCAGGTATTGTCTTGTAGAATCTTTTCAGAGGTAAAGTGCATTAATTACCTCTTGAATTGATTTTCGGATTCAGACATCAGTGGATTAGTGCAGCTTTGAAATATCTTCAGGTAGCTTTCAGTCTTCTGTGCAGCAATGAATTGTCTTTAAAGTGTCCTTACTGCTGGGTGCAGACGGCTGAAAGGAGACAGCCCACTGTGACCTTATGGAGGCAAGCCAATAAATAATGACCACTCAGTCACATGACAGTCACATGGTTTGGGGTCTCTTCAGTATTAAATGATTTTTTTTTACCAGTAAGAGAAGGTAGGCTTTAAAATTAAGCACTGAGTAGAACAAAGAAGAAATACATTGGCCAATTATGTATAAGAAATAAACACCCTTTTTCATTTGACACCCAATAAATTTGAACGTTACTGTTTGTTTTAATAGGTACTTTAAATTATGAATAAAAACATTTAAACTACTAAACACGTACATATTGTATTATTACAGCTTTGCACTGACATCACGCAATGAGATAAAACCAGTGATGTCATGGTTCTGTTTGTCCTGAGGACAGCAGCTGCTCATCTACAGCCAAACATTCAATATTTCACTGAGCTGATGGCTGGTGAACAACAACATTGTTCTAAATAGAGCAAAAACAAAAATACACTACTTATTAATTATTACACCAAATAATCAAAGGCCGGTATGTTTTTAAATGTCTTTAGTTAACAATCAACCTCCAAAAATATCAAACATTAAAACAATAAAAATACAATAAACATGAAGTATAGATTTAGAAAAAGCAGGGAATAAGAATAAATTTAAAAGACCAACACTTATGTACGGTTTACCTAACATGTTAGAGTGTTTGCTCCACATGTTCTCTCTAGTTTCTGGTGTATTTTGGTGACAGTATTACAGTACCACATACAGGTCTGCCATAATTACTGCACTGTTTGCGTTATTTGCTGTGCCTCTGTGATCACCTAAACAAGAACATTTCTTTAGAAATGGTGCAGCATTTACAAGAAAAAAATAGCATTTTGGAAAGACGGTGTTCTCATGTGGACAGGATCTGAATGATCCAATGTTTAGTGTTTTTTTTTTTAAACTAAGCTCCAAATTATTACATTAAGCAGTAAGGATTGTGGTTTATTCTCATTTTAGTGTTTAAGGAAAATCCTGATGCTTTTTTTAATTTAAAGTAAACCTCTGTTTTTAAATGTTACAATCACCAAAAGCACAAAATAAATGCTTGATTTTTAATGTTGACCTTTAGGAAGTAATTAGTATATATTTTTATTATTTTTTTTACTTTTTAATGTAGTGAAATGCTGATAGAAAATAGTAAATGGATAGAAGCTTTGATTATTTTTTTATAGTACAGCAAACATGAGTAAAGAGAGTTATTTGCATGTTGACATAAGATTCAATGTAAAGGTTACACTGATCACAGTAAGCTTCAAATTAAATTTAGGCTGTTAATTTTGATTTCCTTGAAACGTCTCAAACCATCTCACATGACACATTTGATTGTTTTATCTGCTCTTTAATTCTTGTTTCACATCTACTGACCTTTTAGTTCTGCCAATATTTTCATTTCCATTTGCCTAGATTTGACTCTGTAATTCCCAGTTCTGTTAGCAAACTTTCAGTTTTATCCAGTCACGTACTTTACATTGTTTCCAAGCTTACTATTTTATTTTTGAAAGTCACTCCTCTGGCTGTAGTTATCGTTTCAGTCCAGAATAAGCCAGATGGGGATTTGTGTGAAGTAAAAAACGAGTTTCTGTGCCTCTAGTTAGCCTTTTCTCTGATATATTATTCAGCATTTCCCAAATTCCATGCTTTAGAAGATTAGTTAACACACCTTTACTGTTGCTTTTTATTATTGAGTCTGAATGTATTGATCAAAACAAAACATTTAAAAGCTGATGTGAATGTCTTATGTTCGGTGAATTTGAAAAATAGCTAATAACTGAATCTGTAACTGACAAATCTTCTGAATGTCACTTCTCGTCCTCAGTGGTACATGATCAGTATTGTTCACATCTACAGCCGCTGGAGGAACAGTGAAATCAGATGCTATGTAAACGGACAGCTCGTCTCTTACGGAGACATGGCGTGGCACGTCAATACAAATGATGTAAGTGATCCTTCTGACTGTTGTCACATTGCTCTGCTTTTGATGTTTTTAGACCAGAATATACTCAAGCTGCAGCATTATTTCCCCTCCCATTTTTGGTAACTATGCATCTTAAAATCATGCATATATACTAATGTTAATTAAAACAACACTAGTTTTAATTAAACTGGATTTTAGTTTGAAAATATGATGGGAGGTGTTGTGTTAATCACACACAGTTACACTGCATTAGATGTGGAAGATGGATTTTTAAACACTTGAGTCACAGGATGCAGGGTGAAAATTGCTAAACTGCAGCGACTTCACTGATGTGTGCTGATGTGTGCACAGATTGAGGTTCCAACACTTTGCTTTTTTTACTCGCACTGGCAAGAGATGAGCTCCATCTTCAAAGACTGCATGATCTTGTAGCTATACACTCAGTTGTTTGGCTCATGAAATATTCTTCAGCATTTCCTGTGAAAGCCTCTGTAGTAGAGTTTTTGCAAAATTGTTTTCTTTTTGAACACCTAAGAAAATTGATTGTGAGGCCACGTTATTTTGTACATCTTTTTCACCATATTGGTGGCAGAGAGTAAAACTGTTATTTTAACCAGGTCAGGGGATGTAAAAGCAGATGGAATGAAGCCGCACAAAATAATCAAATCACATCGTGGCCTGGCCTAACGATCACCTAGATAAGGATTTTTATTTATTTCTTTTAAAGATAGCTGTACTAGCGTATACATTGCCACAAACAATAAGATCACACAACCAATGGAGTGAACGGAAAATGCTCTGAGCTGACATAAATAACTCTAGAATACTGAGTGTTTCTGGTAACATACTGTTAACAGACTGTAAAAACTGTATTTGTATGTAGAGTTGAGACGTAGCCAGTTGGGTAGTGATTGCTAAAAAGAAAAAAAAAAACTAAACAAATTTTATGAGGATTTAAATTTAGATTTTTTTCCATTCCTTCACTGTAGTACGTTTCCTGGTGTTAAATGATATTACCTGCTGTCATTTTAAGTTATACTTTATTTTGTCCCGTAAAGTGTGCATTTGCTTAAATTTATCTGCTTTTATAATATTCATATTATGAGTGGAATACAAAAAAGATTATTCTAGGGCAAATTCTGCCCATTTACCCATTTTTATTTGCAAACCAGAATAATTTTGGTATAAAATGTTATAGGCTTTTTTCCCTTCATCTCTCCTCTAGAGTTATGATAAGTGCTTCCTTGGGTCTTCAGAGACAGCAGATGCTAACAGAGTATTCTGCGGGCAGCTTGGAGCTGTCTACGTATTCAGTGAAGCCCTCAATCCTGCACAGATATTTGCAATTCATCAGCTGGGACCAGGCTATAAGGTATGTGCTTGTGGGTGACTTAAATTAGATTACACATAAAGAGTCTGCATCACCTATCCATTTGTGAAATCACAGAGAAGTGCCACTCTGCTGTTTTTTTTTCTTCTTTTTTTACCTTGTGTCTCCATCCTGCTTTTCCTCCTGGATAAACAGCTGCATAAATTACCTAATCCTTGGGAATAATGGCACAATACACAGAGGGAAGCAGCAAGGACTCTGAGGGAATCAAGTCCTGAGCCAATTTCTATCAGCTACAGCAAGTGTAGCACTCCTGGGCTTTTTGACAAAGATCCAATTGAGAAGAGAGATGTAAAACCATTCTAACCTGCCTGAAAGAGGAAGTAATTGTTGATGTTTATCATAGGATGACAAAATTGTAGTTTGGTCACCGTTTGGCATTTTTGAATTAGTTTTTTTTTCCTCTGAAACATCATCAGTTTTTCACATTACTTAAAATAAACTGCAGTACGTCTGTTTATTCTGTATTTCACAGTATTGTTTAACTACTGATGCTTTAAAAGTGCTGCTGTGTCTTCATGGTGGCATGCCCTGCAGGAGCATTGACACACACCAGGAAATTATCTCTGAAAACAAGATGAGTTCCAGGCAATTTGTAATATCTATAGCAATTGCGTGACACCTAAAATTGATGTTTTAGTTTTTTCTGGGTTTTTTTTGTTTATTTATTTTTCTTTACAACAAAATTGGTCTTTTTGTGGCAGGATAAAGGGCCATCACAGATTATCTGAATTACACCCTCATGGTGCTGGGGCTGCCTTGTGATTTCAAGGAGATTTATTTATTTTTTTTGACTGAATTACAATCTGCTTATTTAAAAAGTAACATTAGTTCTATATTACATGGTGATATTTGATTCCCTTAATTATCACACACACACACACACACCCACACACAC